CTCTCTCTCTCTCTCTCCCCCTTTTATTTTTTCATTTTGTTTTCATTTGGGTTCTGATTTTTTGCAAAAGAAATTTCTTCTGACCTAATACGTTGACAGGTCAATAAATGTACTTCCCTTTTTCCTCTATTCTTGACGTCCCATAGAGATATTTCTCTTTCAGCAATTCGTTTACTATCATCAAATGATAAATGATAAATGACAGGATGGAAGACATGGGAAATCATTACTTTGGTTATTGTAGTAGTCGTACTTTTGTTGGGCTGTGTATGGTTCATCATCCGAAAAATTGAACAAGGTATCTCTCCGATCACTTGTAGCTTTTCAAAACTTTCTTCATATTCCATAAAAATAAAATACCTATAACAAATATCGGAGAGCTGGAGAAGAGAAGATTATAAAGAAGGTTCCATGTATTATAAAGAGGAGAAGATTATATGCATACAGTTTGACTTCAACAGAATAACTGGGAAGATGATTACAGAATACAATAAGATTCATTTCAAGAGTTGTAGTTGCACTGACATTTTTAATGTAGGGAGTATTGCAATTATTATCTAGATAGACTAATTTACGTAAATTGTAATTTATGAATATATAACATGTGGAAGTGTAAAAACAATATCTGTACATGGTGTGTTTTGTAAATATCCTTGAGAGTTTTTAATATCCCTATTGCATTTTTATTTTGATATTTCTATCTTTTCCAGTTCTAATTTTCTTAATGATCTTGATTTGCATTCTTATGTTGATGCTTTGGATGATCATCTCATAGGGAAAATAAAGGAAGAAGAATTACGTGAACCGATGACCCTAGAGGAAGATACTGAAACACATACAGTTGAAAATGATGGGGGACATGTTCATCATCTTAGACCGTTTACACATTCGTCTATCGTTAGAGCTACGGGCAACTTTTCTCCAACAAACAAACTGGGAGAGGGTGGTTTTGGCCCGGTTTATAAGGTATTTTGAATTGTAAAATATTTTCTTTGTTAAATGAGAATATTGGCAACTATGTTGAGAATATTATGTAGGCAGTTTTAGGTGTTCTTTGAATAGGAAGGATGTCTTTACGGTATATAAGTATTTCTCTAATCCTAAAGTTGCAGTAAAAGGTAAAACCACATTCTTTGAGCCATTTTGCAGCTCTTTGGAGCTTCAAGTAGCACCTCATTCTTGCATCAGAGTAGTTGAAAAGGCATTTACTGATCGTCGCTGCGGAAATACTCTTATTGCCTTTTCTCTTTATTAACCATTGCCTGGGATCTTACTTTCTTAGAAGACATAAATTTTACCCTATATCATTTTAGCTCAAGTTTATAAATTTTTTATAAACACTTAGACCACATTTTATCCGAACATTTTAAGTGACCAAAAACAAGTAATACCTACGTATGCATCACTCATTTCTATGTATTTATAATTTAAACAGTACATGCGCGATCTGCAACTATTTCTTCGTCTGATAAATTTATTAGTATTGCTTCCATATAAATATGACTTACACTAATTTAATAAATATGCCACTCCCTTTGACAGTATCCACTAATTTAATAATAAATGTAGTATATGTATGTGTTTATATATCATTACAGGGAGAAACCGTTGAAGGGCGAAAAATTGCAGTAAAGGTACTCTCACAAAGGTCAGGTCAAGGATTGGTCGAGTTCGAAACTGAATTAAGACTTATATCTAAAATCCAACA